ACTTTTACCTGCCTACAGGTACACGTAAAGGTGAACCGGTACACTTTTACCTGCCTACAGGTACACGTAAAGGTGAACCGGTACACTTTTACCTGCCTACAGGTACACGTAAAGGTGAACAGGTACACTATACCTACCTACAGGTACACGTAAAGGTGAACAGGTACACTATACCTACCTACAGGTACACGTAAAGGTGAACAGGTACACTATACCTACCTACAGGTACACGTAAAGGTGAACAGGTACACTATACCTACCTACAGGTACACTATAATTACCTACAGGTACACATAAAGGTAAACAGGTACACTATAATTATCTACAGGTACACATAAAGGTAAACAGGTACACTATAATTACCTACAGGTACACATAAAGGTAAATAGGTAACTTTACCTACCTCCATTTTCATGAATTTCATATAATGCATACTCAGGTACAAACAACATTCGAATATCTGGGCGAAACTTTTCAATCAGGGTGTGTATGACATCTTTGGTGGTAGCACTACTTGCCACCCTGATACATTTTGTCGCTACCTTCTGTCCTGCATCTTGAAAGTAGAATCTCATAACCCCGTGAAATTCCAGCTCCTAACAGTTAAAATACCTTGATTTGAAACGATCACAGTTAAATACAAATAACACGAAGTTACAACTAACCTGAACATGCTGTTTAAACAAGTTTAACCACACTTGTGTGAATATAATGTACAATACAGGAAACACTTATAGAACACAAGTTGAAAGACAAAATATTGTAGGTTCTTCATAAAATCATTTCATGAACTTGTTTCCCTGTAAAGGTAACGGAACTTCTGTACATTTGATATTTTCATTAGAAAACAAACTAAAACTCAGCCACAGAAGTAAATAAACACTAAACCTCAGCCATACAAGTAGAAAATAAACACTAAACCTCAGTTATACGAGTGAAAAACAAACACTACAGCAGAGTCATATAACTGAAAAACAAATACTAAACTCACCCATACGAGTGAAATCACTAAAACACTAGAGTGCAATCATGTGAGTAAAGGTTCAACTATTATAATATTCTTAAGTATTAATTCTTACTTATTAAACCAGACTTTTAGTGAAATATATTGTACAATGAAATAACAGTCAGTTACAACAATTACAACTAATGATTCAGTTGTACAATGGAACAGTCAGTCAGTTACAACAACTACAGCTAATGATACAGTTGTACAATGAAATAACAGTCAGTTACAACAATTACAACTAATAATTCAGTTGTACAATGGAACAGTCAGTCAGTTACAGCAACTACAGCTAATGATACAGTTGTACAATGGAACATCAGTCAGTTACAACAACTACAACTAATGATTCAGTTGTACAATGGAACATCAGTCAGTTACAACAACTACAGCTAATGATACAGTTGTACAATGGAACATCAGTCAGTTACAACAACTACAGCTAATGATTCAGTTGTACAATGGAACATCAGTCAGTTACAACAACTACAGCTAATGATACAGTTGTACAATGGAACAGTCAGTCAGTTACAACAACTACAGCTAATGATACAGTTGTACAATGAAATAACAGTCAGTTACAACAATTACAACTAATAATTCAGTTGTACAATGAACAGTCAGTCAGTTACAACAACTACAACTAATGATTCAGTTGTACAATGGAACAGTCAGTCAGTTACAACAACTACAACTAATGATTCAGTTGTACAATGGAACATCAGTCAGTTACAACAACTACAACTAATGATTCTCAAAACTTTATTAACATGATTTTAGTTTCTGTATCTATCTGAATGAAAGAAAAGAAAGTTTAGTAACAAACTAATCAACTTTGTAAATACAATTTTAAAAAATTATCACGTCCCAACAACCCAGCTAATCAGGTTCAAATTTGACCACTTTTGTCTCATAAGAAACTTTTAAAGGTTAAATGCAGCTAAAAAATGTTTACATTCCATAAATCATGCACACGTCATAAATCTAATATCTTTAAAGTCATCAACAAGAGTGTAGAGGTTGCAGGGGGGTCTTATTACTTGGATAGGCTGGTGTCAAATGTTAGCATTAACATCCTGGTTGATCATTTTCTCACGTGCTTAGTTTTTAATGAAAGACAATAAATATGGTAGAAACTCTGACTTTTATCTCTGAATTATTTCTCAAGTCCAATTCTAAAACAGAAGCATTAAAATATTAGTTTTATTAGCCCTATGTTCCACTGGGAATGACAGGAACTAAGAAGAAGAGAAGAATACAAAAAACATTTCATACAGTCTCGTCTCAAACGTGGCTACTTTTGATTTTATCCGAATATCTTTTTTCTCAGACGTTCCCCTCAAGTCTGTTCATCTTACTTTTATTCTAAGTATTTTTATTTTCAGATATTTTATTTGAGTCTGGTTAATTTTTACCCCCCCCAAAAAAACTCATCAAATATTATTTGCTCACAAATCTGGCTGGTTTGAATTTACTCTAATGTTAGGTATGTTAAGTTGGTGGGCCATTATTCACCATACAATTTTAACTCATAAAATGTAACGAAAACACCAACCAGACTTTCTGCATAATAACTCTTGGACGTTCAGTTCACCATGATTTAATTCATTATTCAGAAATCATGACAAAACACACAGCAAAAACCAAAGATTTTTCACAATTTCAAAATCAAACACCATTTTAAAAATAGGTGTTATCTTAAGGTTTAATTCCAGAAAAAAAAATAGAATCAACAAATTAACTGTTGTCAGGGCCATAGCTAGAGACCTTAATCATGTCCAGAACAGGGGGCCTTGAAGGCCCTCTGCTGAATCCCAAAAAACTGCATCTCGAATGTGGCAGGTAGATTACAGGAGATTGGATGGTCACATTGTGTTACTTTTGTTTTTACTCTGGGATAGATAAACAGTAATAAAACCGAATAAACTTGAACAAGTCTTAAACAAACAAACAAGAAATGGACATTTAACTGTCCAGGATTTTCCATGCAGGGAGCCATGCTCCTCTTATGGCACTACTGCAACTACGTTTCAACTTTGAATGTAATTAAATAAAGATGGAGTCATGACTCTTGAGTCAATTACAGGTGGAGCTTGGAATAAAAAAAACGTAATATAAAAGAAAAATTTGACATCTCTGTCTTGGCTGGTACACAACGCTGTCTTGGCTGGTACACAACGTTCTTAAGTCTCCATTTATCTATCAACCACCTTATAATCCTCTTCTAGTTTATCACTTAATGAGGAATACTTAATACAAGACTTTGTTAAGCATTGAAGGACAATGTAGGTTAAACAGTTATCAAAAGAAAGAATATCTAGGGCTAAAGTCTGCCACTACTGACTTCAGATAGTGCAGGAACAATTGGTGTTCCTCAAGTAAAGAACATGCTAAAATAGTTTGTTTGTTGCTGCTTTGTCTGGTTGATGGCATTGTTATCTTCATACTTTGAATGGCAGTTACATTACCATGGCGTACGGCAGTTATACTATACGATTTCACAAAAACTCTACTTATATTTGTTTAAAACATCAATTTTATTTAATATAAATAATTAAGATCACCACAGGCAACAGCATATTTATAATGCGACAAAATACACCCTAAAAATATATCACGGCTAGAAAAAAAAAAACTCAAAATATTTGAAGGATTAAAACTAACTTGAATAATTCAGCGCCCTCTATAGCGATCGGAGATAAGCAAAATGCAACTGCCGGATCATTCGGGTTACGTATATGATCACTCTGAGCAAAAGGTTAATTCCGACCACTTATGATGTTATATGCTACAAGTATTTCACGTTGAATTTCTCAAATATATATGTTTTATTAAATCGGTGTTCAATTGCTTATATTTGTACAAAGTCCGTTACCTTCATTAATATTCATGAAGGATCACAATAACCCTATGTCTAGGAAATGTTCAAATGTTGTCTTTTCGCCCTAAAGTAAAACAAATAATCTCTAACTTCTGTAGAATTGACATTCATATAAGCGCGATTTGGTTTTTTATTCCGCTAACTATATCAGTAACAAAACAAGACAGTTGTGGCTACTGAGATTGAATACCGAATTACAGTTACTTTTTTTCGATACATGAATACAAATAAGTTAAAAGATATAAACGGAATAATGAATTATTATTGTGTTTAATCCACCTGGCGGCAGGAAGCTGTACGAGTTGTTAAGCCTGACAATGCACGTCCCGAAAACAACGGAGCGCAACTTTACCTCTGAAGTTTCAAATTCCCAGAATGTTCAAAAAAAAAAATCACAAAAAAAAACTGCAGGTTCACGTTTAAATCATTTCAGTATAGGTTGTTTCCGGCAACATTGTGTTCTGAATATCACTGTTCCCGGTTTTGGTTTTATCTTTAAACATCCCGACGAGCTTTCGTATCCGAAACTGAAATAACATTTTTCCAATTTTTTTTTATGATTTTACAAAATCCCTCTGTCGGCCAAATATATTTGTTTTGACAAACCTGTATGTTCTAGATCTTCTATTTTCCAACAACAGTAATTTTTAATCTTTCCATTCCTTTGTGACATCTGAAACCTAGTAGTTTAAGTAAGTACACCACCATATCCGGTTTCACTTCAGCCTGCATGTACGTACGTGCTAAGTTTTATTTCCGTTTCGCTTTATACTAACAGACCGAAATGTTATCAAAACTGAATGATGAGCTGCTCGTTTCAACCGATGCATCCCATTCCATAAATCTGATTACTAAGATAAAAACGTATTACACGCGCATGCGCATACAAGGGGGCGAGAGAAAACTATACGACTACACCTACGAAATCACAACCATGTGTTTAAAATGTGTAAAAACAGACTCAGATGCCATCAAAACGCACAATTTTCCGTGGAAATTACCAAACAAAATCAGATGGGGCTTTCCGACTCGTTTCCTTTTTCCTCCAAATTTAACACCACCCCTCCCTTTAGATTTCTATTTACGCCCCACATACATTGCTGCGGGTTTTATAACACGCTTTGCTTACATCTAAACTAATTATTACTATCGAAATCACTTACGCATAGTCGATGGAACCGGGGGGAGGGGGGGGCACGCGTTCCCAAAACTTTTAACCCTGTAGTGAAGTGTTTTTTTTTATCAATCTATTACTTTTGAACTCAATGGTCAGTGTTAACTTATCAAATAAGGTTCCCTCAATCGTAGGTATTCCCCCCGCCCAATTGTTTGTTTGTTTGGAATTTCGCGCAAAGCTACACGAGGGCTATCTGCGCTAGCCGTCCCTAATTTAGCAGTGTAAGACTAGAGGGAAGGCAGCTAGTCATCACCACCCACCGCCAACTCTTGGGCTTCTCTTTTACCAACGAATAGTGGGATTGACCGCACATTATAACGCCCCCACGGCTGAATGGACGAGCATGTTTGGTGTGACGGGGATTCGAACCCGCGACCCTCAGATTCCACCCAATTGAAATTTGTTCCGTCGTCTGTGGCTTACTTAATTATCAAGCTGATCTCGAGAGCTATTCATTCTGTTAAATAATTAAAAACTAGCTAATAAAAAATCGTGAAAAGGGATTTTTGAAAACATGAGTAACATTATAAAA